TATATTTTCATATGGGTGTGGGGGAGAGGGGGTTGTTCATAGTGTGAAGGAAGAGAATTGAATAGTGTAGGATGGAATTTCACATCATCAGATATGCCCTAAACAAGTGCAGGGATTCCTCTACCCAAGTACATATGCTTGGTGTGACGTAATTATGCCTTACATTTCTAAGAAGCCAGGATGCATTTCTCTGACAATAGTCAATTCATTGTTTATATGCATTTAAAGTGACACTGTCTTTCATTTCAATGCCTGGGATGATGGCTTTGTGTCACGGTGAATCACCTTTCCCCTGTCTCCTCTGTGCAGCTTCACGTGTACCCCAGATTGGCTTTTGTAATTCATTCCTTGCTTGTCTGTCAAGGAAAATGGTTTGTTACATTAATACAGTTCATATGTTTTTCAGTTTTGAATAGCTTTTCAAGGCATAATGTAGCTTTTGAAAAATCCCTTATTACTGATCTAGGTATTATCACGGTAGGAGTTAAAGGCATGAGACAATTTTACGGGGGTGATTTCTTGGGCAAGTTCAGTTTTATACTGAAAGCCTGCTGAGTGCTGCACACATTGAGGGATGACCCACTGTTTAATAGGACAGTTTAGCGCTCATGTATGTGAGGAACGGGTGTGCTAATTAGAGCTTTAGCAGAAAATTCTGTTATACGTCGTAGCCTTTTACATATGGAATTTCCCTGGTTCTGTCAGTTTCAGTGTGTCTGCCAAATAAATGAAATACAGCCTGAATGTGACAAAATTGGTGGCGTCCGATAGAAATGTTTCTAGGGGACACATACCAAACCCTGAAGCCTACCAAGGCCGAAAAGAGCCGTTTTCCCACAGCCATGGCTCTGCAGAGTCCTCAATTAGGAGTCCGAAGTTTGACCTTGAAGATCAAAGTAACCTCAAGATGTGCTTGCATGGATGCGAAAAGCTAACACATCTTTTAAAATTGGAATGTTTACTCTAGAGGGGGCGTATACTCGGGTAAACTTTTATCACCACCACTCCTTATTCCTGCACACATGAATCCTTCCAGTGTTTTTGTTTTTTCTTAGCCTGCCTAACTGTCAAAGTCATTGAAGCGTTTAGGAAGACTCTACTAAGTGCTCAACATTGCGCTGTCAGATGTGTGTAGTTTCATCCTTTGAGGAACGGGTGCTCCAGTTGAGTCTGTAAGGCTAACTCCGAAGTCACATCGCTGCCATCAACTGGTGTTTAAGAGTGAAGTTTAAAGGTCTGGCAAAACTACTTCATGCAATTCACGTGAATCACCTCTCCCTTGTCTCCTTCTTGCAACTCGACATGGCTTTCCTTTGTCCAGGGTGAGGCATGGAGGAGATGACTAGGAGCCCAAAGACCTAAGGGACCCTTAGTTGCTCTTCGGGTATGGAAGGCAAACCAGAGGGCGGGCCATTGCTTAGGAAGACTGCCAACACGTCCTCCCCATCTGCAAGTACTAGGGAGAGACGACTATGGAAGTGGTAGAGGAGCACCGAGAGAGGCTGCGGAGGCGGGTAGTGAGGGCCAGGACGAGGGTCAGGGTCAGGGCCAGGGCCAGAGTGAGAGCGAAAGCAAAGACTAACTTTCAGATCAGAGACAAACTGCGAGTCTGAAAGAATCAGGACAAGTTCAGGTGTTCATGGGGCTTAAAGATGAAAAACTTGGTAGATGAATTTTTGGGAACGTTATTGTGCTTTAGGTGCAAGTTTACATACCAAATTCGTTTTCAACAGTTTATTTAGTACCTGTGCCATGTCGCTGAGTACAGTCTTGGAAACTCCCTGTTCCCACCTGGAATTCATTTCCATCTGTCCAGTTCCGTGGCCACTCCCACTTCTCAGTTTTGCTTTTGAATATGTGTTGTCCTTTTGGCTTTTACTGTCGTTGGTTCTAAGGGATTTCTCTTGAATGCTATTTATTTTATAGATTAGTCTACTATTTGACTGGAAGGCCATCTCTGGAAACAGCTTCAGTTATAAATTAGATGATTGCTAAGGGACCGTAATCTCAGGGGTCCCTCGAGTCTGTCTTTTATAAGAAATTGAAGTTTGTTCTGTGCTTTACTCCCACTCTTACTACTGTGTTCTTGGTCAGAGGGGTCAGCAGCTGGGTGCCATCGCATTCTTGTGGACCCGGGTTAGAGGAGTCTGGGGTTCCTGTGGGTCGTTTAGACTAATGCTTCCTTTCATCTAAGGTTTTCTTCCTTTCTCTTCTCTCCAGATGGGAAGAGAACAATATTTCCTTCTTAGATGGCTGCCCTCAAGCGAAGGCCCAGGCACTACTTACCAGCTTAGGATATAAAGTATGATCTCATTGAGCTATGTTATGCCATGTAACCCAGATTCCCCTTGAGAGGATGGTTCTTAGCCCCTGAGCCCAGTGGCTTATTCTCACAAGATGTTTGGTTATGTCTACGTGTTTTCTATATTGCATCCCCTATGTGCTTCATTATAGAGCACTGAGAACTGGCCTGAGGGTGGGGGAGGTCACCTGACTTTCTCTGGTAACATAAGGAGAAGGATAAGTCAACTTTCACATATGACAAGGATGATCCCGATGAGGCAGAGATCAGACATACCTTCACCCTCCAACTTCCTTTACCCAAGTTTGACACCAGCCATCCCCCCCACAACAACTCTACTTTTCCGCTCAGCTTGATAATTCATTGGGGTGAACATGCAGAATGCATGGATAATACGTACAATTATGGGGTGTATTAGGGAAGCTAATAAGTTAGTACAAGCCAAGATAAGAAAGCATTAAAGATATACTCTGTAAACAGATGTTTCTCAGCCATGCCAGAAGTCATGTCCTTTACTGATCCTCAACCTTTTAACTGCATAATCCCTTAGCATCTGCCTTGTTCTGTGGGCCAGGAAGCCCACCAGTCTGTCTCAGGGTATTGGCTAGATTCCTTTGCTCTGTATCATAGTCTTCATGCCACGATCTCTGATACCTCTTCTGCCTCCACCACTTGATGCAGGGATCTCACAGACATTCTGCTAGTGGCTTTTCTTGTTCCTGCTTCTGAGATTGTTACCCTTCTACCCAGAGGGGTGGCAAAACTGACCAGTCTCCAAGTTTGAGTCTTTTGCGCCTTTTTACGTGCTCCCCCCCAGTTTGGTGGGTGTTACAAAGACTATGGATAGAAGAGTCACACTAAATGATTCCGCTTCACTACGAGCACTTAAAATAAATCTGTGCAAAAATATCAATAGCTTTACCTAACCCACAACCGAATATGTCTTGAAAGAAATACAGTGGCAATGTTCCTTAGAAGCATCGATGGCAAGACTCTGTCTCACCTAATTTGGACATGTTTTGGGGAGGGCCCACTTCCTGGAGCAGGACATCAAGCTTGCTAGAGTAGGTGCCCAGCAAAAAAGAAGCCCCACAATGAGCTGGATTGGTACAGTGACTACAACAATGGGCTCACATATCACAACAACTGTGAAGAGGGTGCAGTTTGGGTAATGTTTCATTGTGTTGGGCATAGGATCTCTGTCAATAAGAACCAACTCTCTGGTATCTAACAGCCCCACCAATAAACTGATAAATGCACTCATGTATACTCCTGTATGACCTTCCACATCTATTTAGTGTACATATCCACCTCTGTATCATTCATAACTTATTATGTTATTGTTGCAAATTATATATTATAGAATTTTTATTACATGGACATGGTATTCCATTTTCCATAGTGGTTGTACCAGTTTTTAGTCTTGCTAGCAGTGTATAAGTTCCAATTTTTCCACATCCTTGTCAGCATTTATTATTTTCTGTTGCTTTAAAAAAATCATTATCATTAGTGCCAGGATGAGATGGTATTGATGTACATCTCTCTATTAGTTAATTATTGTGAGCATCTTTTAATGTATTTAGTACCTATGTGTTTTTTTGGTAAAGTATCTGTTCGTGTCCTTTGCCCATTATAAAAATTGAATCACTTGCCTTTTTGCTGTTGAAATGTTGTTGTTAGTTTTTTAAAATAACTTTTAGAGTTTAGACTCTTTTCAGATATGTCATTTTCTACAAAATATTCCTAATCTGTAGGTTCTCTGTTTACTGTTTTGGTGAAATCTTTCGATGAACATTAAAACAAAACAAAACAAAAAACCCAAACTCCCTGACACCAAGTGGGCCCTGACTCCCAGTGACCCTGTCAGACAGAGTAGAATGGCCTCTGCGGGTTTCCGAGGCTGGAATCTTTATGGGAGCAGAAACCTCATCTTTCTCCTGCAGAGCCGCTTCTGGTTTTGAACAACTGATTTTTCAGTTAGCAGAGTAACAGATAGCCTACTACTTCACTGAGGCTCCTTTTCAGAGCTCCCAAATATCTGATTTATCTTCTCCTGTTTATACTGTGTCAGTTATGTTTGATAGTCTATTTATGCCATAAATTAGGATCCCTACCTTGGTCTCTATATTTTCTCCCATGAACTGTACAGTTTTACAGTTTGTCTTTAGGCCTTCGGTTCAGTTTGCTTTTGTTGATGGTGTGGGCTATGAATCTTGTAGAACCACGTAGAGAACTTTCTACTTAGGAGAGAACTCCTGAAGCCTTTTGAAGAAAGGAGTAACGTGGTGGCCATGGAAAGAGAAGGGAAGAGGGCAGAGTCAGAAGGCTAGATGGCCTTCACGGTAGCTTGATGTCTTTTTGCCTTCTGAAGCCAACCCTGAAATATGGTGATCAGCAGCTCAATCAAAATGATAATACTTATATTTTCTCCTTTTAACCTGAAGGTGCCTCTTCTATACTCATGCCAGTCAGAGGACATTTAACCTTCTTGGGCCCCACATGATGAGCTTGTGGTCCTTTGCATTATATGGGTCAAGCTCATCCCCCGCAGGGATGGAATTATGTTTCTGTTGGGGGCATTTGGTGGGTTTGGCTTTTGAGAGCTTAATCATTGTACTTTTTTACGGTTTGATTCTTATAGCCAAAAGAAATGTTAAAAACCAATTCATTTGAAATGATTTTCTTATTGCCGACTTAGATTTGGATGGGACCAGCCAACAGAGTTATCCTGAGAATCTGTCTTATGGCGAAGATGACCCCGTCCCTGCCCACTCACAGTCCACAGGTGAGAGAGGGCGTGTCAGACACCATGGGACGTCTCATCAGGAGACCTGTGCAAATCGGAGCCTCTGGCGCCAGTCCACAGAGGGCAGCTTGGAGGCAGAGAGAGCATTCCATAACCGAGGCTTTGAAGACTCCTCAGCGTGGGGTCCCCAGGCAAGTTCTCCTTTCTGTTCTGTGATTGCTGGTGTGGACGTCTCCGTCCTAGACACAACCACCACCACCACCAGCCCTCCCGAGTATTGTCTTCAAAACAAATTCCTAAAAAGCCTGCCGAATAGTATTTTTATTTTGATAACCCAAACTCCAATTCTTTTATACCAATAAAAGAATCATAAATAAATTTCTTTCCTAACAAAAGGGGGGCACAAAATAGATTTCATGACAGGCAGGCTTCCTTTTTGATATATAAAGGCTTTTTCCAGGATTTAAAAAGATAAAGTATAATATGAATGATTTCTTTCTTTCATGGTCCCAAAACAATGAATCCCTTCTTTCATGGTTTCACGTAAGGGAGTCTATTTCTTTTTAAATCCAAAGTGTTCATTTATGTTGACTCTGATGATGATGTGAATGTTGACCTCAAATAAAATGGCCTCTGGATGAAACATCACAAGGTAGTAGGTATTATTATTATTAGGTATCATTTTTAGGTATTAGGATGAGGACTGTTTAGTCTGAGCATGTTTTTTAGTGACTTGAAGGCCTAGGGACTATATTAATCTGTAATGACACTCTTTGGTCATAGAGATTACTTTATAGAGTAAATCTTTGGTAAAGGATGCTTCTTTTAAATTTCATTTTCAATTAAAGCTCAGTGGTGAATATACCTAGCCGACCAGAAATATTCAGAGATTGGACGTGAAGAAGATAGTAATTGCCACTTATTGAGCAGTTTCTGTGTGCCAGACATTTTGAAAAGGATTTTATAAACATGCTTTAGCTTCCAAGAATTTATAGTTATTTTGACATTGGCTAGAACCTTTTTATTATGATTGCCTGGTATTGGAAGGAGTTAATAGTGAGGTTCTTGGGCAGAGCAATGATTAAGCATTCAGCTACGAACTGAAAGTTTGTTGGTTCAAAGCCACTCAGCGGTACCATGGAAGAAAGGGCTGGCAGTCTGCTCCCCAAAGACGATAGCCATTGAAAACCCCCTAAAGTAAAGATCTACCTTGAATCATGTGGGGCCACTATGAGATGGAGTTGACTTGATGGTAGTGGGTAATAGTGGAGTTTAATACCTAATTTAGAATTAATTTGAGGAAATAAGTCAGATATAAATATCTAAAAATGTTGAGTCATCTTATTTGTGAGGAGAAGAAGAATGAATGGGTTTTGGTAGCGTCACTTTGACTAAGAAAATAAACAAGCTCCCTTGTCATCCTTTTGGGTAGGCAGATTAGGCTACTAACTGCAAGGTCAGCAGTTCAAATCCCACCATCCACTCCAGGAGAGAAAAAAACGAGGCTTTCGGTCCTTGTAAAGAGTTACAGCCTGAGAAACCCACACAGGGAGTTTGAGTTTGGCTTCTGAGTTTGCTATGAGTTAGAATGGACACGATGACAGTGAGGGTTTTCTGTTTTTGTTTTTCACTATCACCGACGCTAAAGCCTCCCCAAGGGGGAGATAAATGAATGAGCCCCTGAAGCATGTTCCAAAGCTGGTTCTCACAGCTGGGGCATGATGGAGACTGTATAGAGCGGCGCGTGTGTGTGGATGCCTGCCTGCATGTTGGTGTGTTTGATCAGGTGGACTGAAGGTGGCCGTCACTCAGGTGCACGGACTGTGGCTTGTTACACGGATCACTTCACACACAAGCACTACAACCATTAACTGGATGCATTTTTGTAAAACAATTCTTTCTTGTTAGTGCACTGCTAAGAGTCAGACCAAATCCCACATAATGCCTTTGAAAACATTATTTTTAGCTGGCTCACCGCTAAAGAAACACAACAACAAAACACCAAACCAAAACAAAGCTGTTTACCTGCCCACTGATGCCCTGTCCCTGGATAATTGGGCCATTGGGCTTCTCCAGGTAACCTCCCATTTGTCTACCTCATGGAGCTTTAATAGAAGATTTGGCACTGAGGGTACTAAATGTTCCCAGGCTCCTAAAATATCCAGACATCTCTGCATGCTCCATTCAACCTCCTCTCTATTTTGAGACAAAAACTGTAATTGGTGCTCCGACACTAGAACCTCAAATGCAACTGGGAGGCAGTTCCTGTAACTGCCTGCTTGGCAGGCTCAGCCCGCAGCCGTTTAAGAATTGATTTATTTGCCTCTTAGCCATACGTATGAAGAACCCCATGGATCTGGCAGCTGGAACATAGTGTGGGTCTGTTTACTTTGGGCCACTCAGATGACATCAACACTATCTTACTAAAACCGAAAGGCTTTCACTTTGACAGAAAATCTTTAAAGCTACATGGGTTTTGACAATTTGATGCAAGTTTCCTCATCTTAAAGAAAACACAGGATGTGGGAGCTAAAGGAATCGCTTATTGGGCCTCAGAAGGAAACGGCGCAGCTCATGCTGAGTGACGACCTGTTAGTCTGATGGATTTTCCAGCCCTGCTCTTCTCTGCTGGTAAAAGACCATTGACTTTTCCTGCAGCCTCAAGGCTTGGCAAGGAAGATGAGAGGAGGGCGGAGGGTGACTTTGAGAGCACAGGAAGGCAGGTGGCCCACTTTTCATCCCTGCTTTCCACTGAGCAACTGGTTGGCCTTGGGAAGTTAATTAAAATCTGCCGAATGGGGATAAAGATGGGGAGATTTTTACCTCGCAGGAAGGTCAGGTGGATTAGGAGCAGTATTAGCAGTACCCACATGAGGACCGCTTTCAGTTGCCTGGTGATAGGTAAAGTGTGTTGAAATAATGAATTGTTGCAAAAATTACCAAGCCTCACAAAGCTTTGTCTCCAATCCACCCTGGAAGGGGCCACAAAACCCAGTTTTCACGAACCACAGCTTGGATCGGTCCCCCTTCAGAGTTGGACTGCTGCCTTGTCTTATTCAGAGCCCTTAGGACAGTTCTTGCACAGGCTTCCCGAGGGCTGACTTCTCCAGATGCCTGCAAGCAGAGTGCACATCCAACTGAAGAGATGACCTGATAGATAAGTGGAGAGTTGCTCAGTGACCAGATTATTTTTACCTTGACATTGAAGGGGATGGCAAAGCTGGGAACTGTGGACTAATATTAAGAGCAGG